TCTCATTACACATCAGACGTTGACGATATCGCTTTACACAAGGATCCTGGTAGAAACCCTAATACAAGAAACATACAGACAGCCTAAAGGCTCAGCGCTGTATTAACGTTACAAAGTACTGGAAAATTAATTTCCTCATGTCTCTATAGTTGTCATTTGAGAAAAACGTTAAATAAACAGAGAGAATGTGATCGTAAGAGATGGCATAGAATAAACAACATAGGAATATAGTTTTCGAAGGCAACATAACGTAGACGTATATGAGGTTGACATTTAATAAATGTTCTCAAATTGTGCAAGGACCCCTATTAGCCTGGCATGTGTCCTTAAATACATGTAACTTAATTACAAAATCGCCCGGAGCTAAGGAAGCTTGTAGCTCAATGTGCGGCTAGTGAAACTGTAAATCAATTCTTCTAAAGTTTAATTGTAAATCCAGCCGCAGGCCACATTATAATTAAGCAATTAGAGTCTGTGCTCACCTTCTCCTTAGGCAGAACTATACTTGTATCAAGTTACTTTTATCAACGGTTGAAGTTATTTGGGGTCTCTTGGGGTTTACTAGCATTATCTAGAATGTACAAATCTCTTCTCTGTTGGTTGACATCGTTTGCAAGTCGAAGATTCTGGCATTATAAAGATAGAATAATTGATGAAGAATATCAACGACGGCAACAGTCCATAGTGCTCTGTTCGTAGAAGTATTTATCAAAAATGCTACATTACCATGGAACATAAGTATGATAAAGCGTGTTTAAAGTTAAACCTTTTGATCCAACGTGAACTTTCATGAATGCACAATAATGCGTGCTCAAGTATATGAGTATAATGCAGCGTATACATGTCCCTTGACCCAAAGAAACAGCGCATGCAACGCACGTTCTATGTCTCAGACACGGTGATAAAAGTTTTCTAACTACAACAAAACCATGCCTAGACGTGCAATTTAAAGCAATGAAACTCAGGTGCCATACCGGGTTAAGGGTTAAATAGTGTCTGAGACCGCCAACGTTTACAAAGATTATTGATAGATACAAGCGATTCACGGTTTTTTGACATAACGTTAAAATGTATAAAATATATAGAAGTACAAAAACCAAGTACGAATCAGTTCATCCAGAGCAAATTCACTTAGAGCTGTGGGGTGTCTTTCATATAGCGATAAGAGAATCATATTGGAAGGTTGAAATGTGTTTGGTTCATGAAACAGCTTACTCCACCAAATTGGCAACTAACATGAACGAGAAGTAAGTGTTTACCGTGCTGCACATCCAGAGCTATATACCACCTATCCTGCTGTGCGCGACAATGTTCAAAATGACTAATAAACTGGTGGACGTAAGAACCATTTAGTATCTGATACCAGCCCCAAAAAGGGCAAGAAACAGTCATGCCGTCAAATATCAGAGTTATCAACCAAGAACTTCAACAAGGTTTCCAAGAACTATTGTAGAGCGGAACTTGTTGCCATCAAGCACAGTTGGGGCATATCATCATCACTAAAAAGTTTTAAATTTAATGTGCAAAGATTGGGTGTAACAAGTCGGTCGGTGTTATATAGCTAGCTGCTGACGCGCCGCGTGCCTGCGAAGCTGGCGTGTTACGCCGAAGGCTATACCGGCTATACCGATACAGATACGGACTTCTAATGGCTTTCAAAGCCAAATGCTAGGAAGACGTTTAACATACAACCATTGCTTCCATCTCTTGCCATCGCTGATGATTGCTTCTATTGCAATCTTACATTGGCAGCTAACTGTGCTAGGTCACGTTAAACACCGACCTCCCTGAATGGCGCTAGAAAAGGAAATTGTCGACGACCCACTAGCGCTTGATGGTCTGCTGCCTCCATTTCATCGACGTAGCTACTATATAGGTTGTTTTTCCCATTCCCAAAAGGTAGAAACTGACTATCATGAAAGTTCATCTGTGACGTTACATGTTTAGAGCTAAAACTTTTGATCCGACAAAAAGTAATTTCACTTAGAACTTTCGACGAGTTACTCTGGTTTTCCTCAGTACTGATCAGTCTGAAGCTCAAGGTGAGAGAGCTTTTAGGTTATTTTTAATGCTGGGACTAGTTTGATTTGATGGCACCAGGAGCGATTAATCTATATATATGAATATAATATTACATGTACATGAGACTGAACCCAGAGAAACATTCAAAACGTTTCACTCATATACGTATAAAGTTCATCAAGAGAAACTACACGTCAGCCACCTTTTAGAAGATCACTTACATACCTGATCGACTGATAAAAGGGTCAGTAGTACAAGCCGCAACATGGCATAAGTAAAAGGAAGTTGTCTTTCAAAACATCGCCTACGCAACTAAAATGAAAAATTGACTAATGTGTAGGGTTAACAAAGTCAGCCATTGCAGCGAATATGTCGTCACATCTACATCAGATTCAGCATCTGCATCATTACAAAGCTCTCTATGGGGCTCTCAGGATATAGAGTATCTAGTGCTGTTAGCACTGTATATCTTAAATCACTTTTGATACACCTGAGACCAACGAGACTAGGACTTACTTTTAACGAAGTGAATTGGAGCCAGTCAAGCGAGGGCGTCCTCTTTAATGAGACAGACTCTTTGATTAATCAGAGTGAGTACACTCTTAGATAAAGTTAGGATGCTTTTGCGGCAACTTTTAGTGAACTCAAGAGCGACGTTCTTTTACGTGGGAAACGTCTATGAAAAAGATCTTTCGGTCTTGGGGAAGCGGACTTCAAGAAGCAGCTTTTAAGATTTACTTTCACTTATCGTCCTCGAGGCAATGACTCTCTTCATCAACCTGAACCAGTCCTTTGCTACATCTTTACTGCGATAGGACGCCAGACCGTCTGGTACAACTGTTTTCCATGTGGCTTTGTGTCAACAAGTCTTCGTTTTAAGGCTATTATAGATATTCTGTTGTCGTTCATTCTAGCATAGCTCAAGACCGGGCCATTTTATCTCCTACTTTAATTTCCGAGGATTGTCTTCTACAAACCACCTTAAAATGGTTAACGTTGAGAATCCATCAAAATGGGGGTTTATTCAGTGATTTTTTTCTCTGACAGATCCAAAAATAGTGGCACTTACTAACATACTGGTAATTATCTCAACTCTTATGATAGAGAGACAAGAAGGCGAGGTGGGCTTGGTAAGTTTAATGTTTGAAAACATGATTCGTTTCTCTGACAGATCCATAAATAGTGGCACTTACTAACATACTGGTATTGCATTAAGAACAAACATGATATCAGTACATGATATCTGAAGAAAGCCATTCTCTCATGCCAGGACCGCTGCTTGTATGTGTTGAAAATGACCCTGGGTTACATTTATCAGCCTTCAATCCACCCTTCTCGCTATATACAGTGTAGCACTGGTCATCTAACCGCCACGTAGACCGTTACGGTAGGGTCTATGCTACCAGAAAATTCCACATCCTGTCGGTGTTCAGGCTCTACCCCCTACCCCTTTCCTAATTACTTCCATTTCCTCTCTTCCCCGACTGTCCCAGCCTATCTCTCTCCCCAGTACGTCAGTTCGTGGCCCCACCTTATATGCCTTGTTTGTGCACATAGACAGGAAGTTGTCTTCTCTTCGAAGCTTGCGAGGAAGAATACATATCTTTTTAGTTCTATGTCCAGACGTTTGAATGAGTTATGGTTAGGAACAGCCAACCATTATGGATAGTCTCTACGTATCAAAGAACATAACTTTGTCCGCGAATCTTGATATATTTGGACAATCCAGAATTGCACCTGGCATATGGTTTAAGTAAAGCAAGGTTCTGGATAAAGCATGTTTTGTTTTTGTATTTGTATGGGTATAGCCGGTATAACCGCCCTTCGGCGTAACACACCAGCTTTGCATGCACGCGGCACGGCGGCAGCGCTAGCTGGCTATTTTACACCGAACGACTTGTTACACTCGATCTTTGCACATTTAAATCAGCTGTGCTTGATGGCAACGAGTTCCACTTTACGATAGTTCTTGGAAAATACGAGTTTCTGAACACCTCAATTCTTGGTTGATAAATATTTGAAGGCATAATCGTTTCTTGTTCTTTTTTGGCCTGGTATTAGATACTTTGGTACATTGGTTACATTGATAGGTTGGTACATTGTACGTCCACCAGTTTATTTGTCATCTTGTACATTGGTTCTTGCTTGACGTGCACTAGTGGCGAGCTTGTCATGAGATGATGAACAAAGCAGATGTCATCTCCTCGGGGTACTTTTAATAAGCAAGCCCACTCAATGGTGTGCTCTTTACAAAAGTAATTATAGTCCTCATACATCCATTTTGTGTACAGAGTTAATCACTGTCGCAGGTGTTGAAGCTATTGAGCGCTACACGTGTCTAAGCCTAGCAGCAATCAATGATGTTGTGGTGTTATTCTTCAATTACTGTTTATTGGTTTCTGATGAAACAGACTACAAGATTTGAGAAGAAAAGATTACATATCATTATATATTAAGCAATTAAGCAATTGTGAATGTCGCAATTTTCGAAATAAAATAGAATAAAATAAAAAAATATTAAGCAACCGTATACCATAATTAGTTGGCAGCTAGAGCGATAAAACATTTTGATAAGACCAATACAAATCAAAAGCTACATGAATAGTCAAGGAGTTGTAGTTGTTATCATGTACAATAGAAGACAATCTTGTGTTCGTCTTTTTCGAAAACAAATCCCTACCTACCGAACCAATTTGTTTTCAGGCCTATATCCAAAAACAGAACATTTTTCCTATGCCTTATGCTGCTGTAGTTGTTATCATGTACAATAGAAGACAATCTTGTGTTCGTCTTTTTCGAAAACAAATCCCTACCTACCGAACCAATTTGTTTTCAGGCCTATATAAAAAAAAACAACATTTTTCCTATGCCTTATGCAGCTTATGTACGGAAACATGTATAATATACTTTAGTTAGCCTCCGAGTTGTTGACATCATTAATCATTTTTCATCATATTACAGATTCTTTCCACCACACCAACAGCGATGACAATGGCAGAAGAAGATGATGTCAGTAGTTTATAGATGTAGATGTACATCAGGTACACAGACAAGACAGTGAGAGATGAATGATACCGAATATAGACAGGATGTAAATATGACTGAGTTTAATTTTTCGACCCCTTGGCTCTACACGAACGAGTCAGATGTCCACAATAGATCATTAGTCGGAACAGCCTCTACACTCTCCGTCGCTTCCCAGTCCGCCCTGATTATATTTTACGGAGCCGCCACGTTTCTGTCTCTGGTAGGGAACTCTATGGTAGTACTAGTTCTAACCAGAGACGCTCTCAAACGGACTGATCTGAATGTGTATCTCATCAACTTAGCGTTCGCGGATATCACCATGGCAGTGTTCTGTATGCCGTTTAGTTTTACTGAAGTCATGCTGCAGGGGTGGATATGGGGGGAAGTGATGTGTCCTCTGATGAGATTCTCACAGCAGACAAGCGTGCTGGTGAGCATCTTCACTCTCGTGACGATCGGAGTGGATCGTTACTACGGCGTGGTGCACCCGCTGATGATACGGGTGACCAAGACCAGAGCCCGGCTGATCGTGGTGTTGATCTGGGTGGTGTCGTCAGGCCTGGCCATCCCGCAGTTAGCCATCTCCCGGCAGGTCGTCTACAGCTACGGTAACCGCTGCGAGGAGGTGTGGGCGGGTAAGTACGAGTTCGGCTACACCATCGCCTTCATGATCGTGTCCTACGCCCTGCCCGTGGTCATCCTGTGCGGCACGTATCTCCGGATCGGCACGGAGCTCTGGGGGAAGGCACCGGCTGACGTCGGTCGGGTCGACGACAACAACCAAGCACGCCAGCGGAAGAAGGTACATGTAACAGTCGTCATTTTTTTTATTGCAAGACTGTAAGCAACATTTAGCATTAAGCAGACTCACGGACCCAAGTGCGCGAGTAATTAAAAAAGCGCGCTGTGATTGGTCGACAAAAAGACCTATTGTACACAATGATAATGACCTAAAATCGTAGGTAAGACCATTTTAAAGCATGTATCAAAAATGAAAAAAAAACGCCTGATGGTATCTGTCCAATCTACCTTCTAATTGAATTTCAGATCATTTGCCCAACAAATGAAGAAGTTAAATCCATTTCACGAAATGGCAGGAGAAGAAGGAACAGAAGCTTCTGAAGAAGAAACACAAGGACATAAAAAAATCATCCGTAGTAAAATATAACTTCGACATTGACTCTATTGATACCATTTTCAAATTAATCACTTGATGTAACGAAATGTTTTGGATTTATGTTCTATAGATCATCAAGATGCTGTGCACCGTGGTCAGCATGTTCGTGGTGTCATGGCTGCCACTGCACGTCTTTCGCTTCATCCTGGACCTGCACCCCAACTTCGTGTACGACAACCCGGACCGATCATACATCTTCTTCTTCTGGTGAGATGATACTGCTTCATTTAATTAGGAGAAATTCACTATTACACAGCGTCACAGTGTCAAGACCGTTGTAATTACACGGCGCTATAGCCTCTTTATGAAGACCGTTGTAGAAAACTTTTTTTTCGGAAATGATGTTGGTGAATGTATGAAATAATGCAGATTGCAACGTTTTGGTCTACCAACTGTTTGTTCTGTGAACTCCGTTATTATACAATGATCAGTCCCTGAATTGACACCAGTTTCAAAATGGTAGCCCTGTTCAAAACTAAAATTCCTTAGAACTTAAGTCAAGCTAATTGAGATTAACATGTACGTTAATAAGGTTCGAAGGCCCAATCTTAAAAAAAATGGATGTTTGTCAAATGAAATGTTTTACACACTAGGAATTAGCCAAAACAACGAAAAAAAAAACAGCTCAAGCAAACAACATCACTATGGAACAAGCTACCACGTGATGGTTTTCCACATGGGCACAACCTTAAACTTTTAAGTCTAATGTCAACAAACATCTGTCCTCGCTGGCTGTACAGTAACCCAAAACATTTAAGTGGCTTCCATGAGCCTTGTGTTGTGGCGAACTATTAAATTAATAAAAAAAAACAGTTTTCTATTGGAAGCCTTCTCATCAATCCAAGAAAAGCCTTGTACAGTCGCACATATTTGATGCCTGTTTCACCATTTTTTTGAAGCAGTAACTTGTGCTTAAAATACCGTCGTCAGTCACGTCACTGAAATCCCTTTAACTACTGCAGCTGCCCATGTCTGGCACAAAATCAAAATGCACCGCAACGACTTATGTAAAGACCGGAGAGTCAGAATCATATTAACCCCATGTCTTTCCAAATCGGCCCTGCAATAATGCTCGTTATAATGTGGCCCTAACCCGTGAGACACGCTACCTGTTCCAAAAACAAAAGCAATTATCTAAGGCTTAGCCCCGTCTACTCTCTCATTAAAAGTTGCGTGCAGGTGGATTTGACTTTCTTATAGATACTAGATATTTATTGCCTATGACATTTTTTCATACAGTGCTTGCTGACTGGTCATGTTCCATAGCGTTCCTTCAATTGAAAAGGAACAAAGGCGGCTAATGGCTTTTGATATCTCTCCATACAGCGCCCACTGGCTGGCCATGTCGCACAGCTTCATGAACCCCATTGTCTACAGCTTCATGAACGACCGATTCCGGGTGAGTGAGTGAGTGAGTGAGTGAGTGAGTGAGTGAGTGAGTGAGTGAGTGAGTGAGTGAGTGAGTGAGTGAATGAATGGTTTATTAAGAGTACATTTGCACTTTGCAGCCATAGGCTGAATTTCGTACTATTTACGATAGCGCAATAATCATTAACACATTATGCCTTTAAAACAGAAATATTGTATGAGTGGCTACAGCATACAATGTGTGCTGGTGCTGTAGCCACTGTAATGAGTTCTGTTAGTTTTACATCATTACAAAACATTTAATGTTTTTGGATTATTAAAAACCGAAAGGGAGAAGAATCTAGTGGAAGACTTAGAACTCTTTTCCAGTCTTCTATACTAATTTTCTTTAAAAAAGATACTCATGGAATTTTTTACCAGTTCGCTGGTCTAGATCTATTTCTGGTCAACTCCCGATTGCTCAGAATACGTACGTAACATTCTGGCAGTGTGACATAAGCAATGGGGGAAAGGTTGAATCAAATGAGCTGTCTACATCAGGATACATCAACCTTCATTAAATAGGAGTGAGGGTCGTTGCTCACATTACTATTCCGAAAGGTATGCGTTCGGAGAAATCAGGTTCTCGTGTATCAAGAACACGGTGGTAAAATCTGGGCTGTAAAGTTCCCACATGTCATAGAATCCGAACAGTGTTCGATCGTGTTCGATCTGGGCAATTCGAATCGAACCCGCGTTCCATTTCGGGGTCACCTGCGGTCATTTGCAATAAAGCGGCAAAGCAAGCCCTTCTGCCTGAGTGACTCGCAACAGATAAAAAACAACACTTTTCTATAGATACAAACAGTTTCCAGGACAGTACATGTCCGCTATAATTTTTTTGTGGACATGTAACATATGTAGCGAAGCTACGGTCGTATCCTTGGGTGACCTTGAATACTGTAATGATTCTTTACGCCTTTATGAATAACACGATGCACACTTTTGGGAGATATGACATGTCTGCACAACTCGTTCAAACCTGGAAACATGGAGAGTCAAACATACCCCATTTACGGCTCAAAATGACTGTCACGGTTATCCCGAAAATCGTGCTTTTGGGATTTTTGAAAAATGCGTTTGATTTTGGATTATGGGTAATTGAGTGCGAAAAAAGCCAAAAACTTCGATTTTTTAAACTATTTGTCAACAAAAACTATACTTATAGTCAGAAATTAAAAAATCCTAAAAGCACGATTTTTCGTCTTATTCCTAGTCGTCAAAAAACATAAAAATCAGTGATCTTGCGTAATATGTGTAGCCAGGTTTGCTCGGTGATTGGCTAAAATATGACGCTGCGAAATCCCGAAAATTGTCGCCTTTTTTAACGAAATACGAACAAATCATCCATTGCGCGCAAAAAATCACCATTGAATGTATGTAAAGACAATAGTTTTATTTTATTTCAACGAAATTTTCCCTTCGATACTAGTTTGTTTATTTTCAAATGTTTTACGGTTAGCCCAAAATTGCGTCTTGTAACCCGATACTTTATCGAACGCCCCCGGCAATGGGAAAGAATGCCGTAGTGACAGACCGCCGTGGAAAGAGACCTCCAGGCGATGAACCCTTTTCATGTTTTATAGAAATGGTTTTGGCTTTTTCATGATACAATCTCAGGCTTCAAAACAAACGCAAACAGTAAAAAGAGAACATTTGAGTACCGGGCAATCCACCTTTGGAACAAACTACCACATCCGGCACATCAATATCACATCAATACACCAGATCCAAAAGACCATCCGAGAACTGTTTATACAAAGTTCTGTGACTAACTATAGTATGTAGATTATGTTACTTTTATTTGTACATAATGTAAATTTCGTTCTCTGCTGAATGTGTGTTTTTACCATGTTATCAGTTGTATATGTGTTTTATTTCTGTATCAGCCATGCATGAAGCCTTTGGGGCTAAAGGCCATCGATATAAAGCGATATTACATTTAGTACCTTCTATCTTTGCACACAGAATGAGCTTTGCCACCTGCTTCGACAAATGGTAGCCTGCCAACGGGCCCGTCAGCACCCCGCTATCCAGCAGCGCCGCAAGAAGACGGGGAACATAGAGATGGTGGAACTGAAGAACCCACCGGACACCAACGGCAGCATGTCGCAGTCCCCGGACCCGCAAGCCGGCGGCCCACAGTCTCCACTCACGTTCTTCAACGACATGGAAGGGAGAAGCCGAAGATACACAAGGTAGAGCATAAACAATCTCACAGTCGTGGGGTCGTGTGGCTTAGTCGGTAGCAGGTAGTCGATAGCGTCACCCGTTCCGGTCCAATAATGCTTAAATGTGCATATGGGTCTAAATGTACCATCAAGTAGGTGTGTGTTTGTGTGTGTGTGTGTGTGTGTGTGTGTGTGTGTGTGTGTGTGTGTGATGTGTGTGTGTGTGTGTGTGTGTGTGTGTGTGTATGTGTGTGTGTGCGTGTGTGTGTGTGTGTGTATGTGTGCGCGCGTCTTTTTCACAGAAATTCAAAAATGTTGGTCTAGATTAGTCAGAAGTTAACTTGTCTTTCGTCGGAGCGGCTATAAAAATATGTAGAAAATGTTGGCGGCATAATCTCCACATGCCGAAGTAACCTTATCGGTTCAGACTATTTCTTCACGCCTACCGTATCCAATTAGCGCTGTGGGTAGAACCGACATCTTGTAAGATTCAGATTTTTACGCTACATCTGAAGGTAAATATAATGGAAAAACCTATTACAGACATGTTAAGCTCCACACACTTTGACAAGGGTCGGATTCGCCGACCCTCGTAGACATATTTAGCCGTTTGTAGCGCTTGCACATGGCAAGTTCTGGTTTTGTGCTGAAAGAGTTTTTTGTGACCAAAGCGACTCCCTGCCCTTAGGTGAAATCGTAACAAGCGGGAAAGTTCTGTTTTGATCTAATTGAAGCTAGCAGGCGAGGAAATGAAAATGCAGCTTTGGCTCACTACAAAGGCAAGACGATGCGTGTGATCTAAGATGACAAAAATCTTCCTGTCTAGTATCAGTACTAGTAATAGGATCTACCTATGCGTACAAGATTTCTCAAAGTATACTTTGAGAAAAAAAAAACATGTATACGCTTTCAAATAAATCACAAAAATTAAAGATACCACAGTGGAACAGAAGTTGTCCAATAATAGTTAATGGGTCTAAATGTACCTTCAAGTAGGTGTGGTCACCGTGTGTGTGTGTGTGTGTCTTACATGAGAATTTTCATCTTTACAGCCCAGTTTTGGAAACAATCCTTGACGCTGTGGACGACAGCAAGCAGCTGCGTTTTGAGACAGCCTGAGCGAGAAGAAAACGTGTGAGTTCTGCATACAACATCTACTGAGCAGTCTGGACGACGGGTCAAACCATGGAGTAAGAGGTACCCAACATCAGAGTGCTAGCCAGGTGTGATGCTAGTGACGTTGAAAAACAAACCTTTTTCTCACTTTTTAAAAATTTTGTTGAGAATAGAATGATTGTTTCCGGTAATGTATAAAAAGAATATTTACGATGTTTCAAGGAAGTATACCGAGATCGTCTTTGATCTAAAGTTGGTAGATAATGAGTTGGTTCTTTGATATTTAGGCATGAAGTGGTGAAAGAGAAGGTATGAGCCTGAAATTTCAAGAATTTGTCCAAAGAATTAGGTTCTTTGGTGTGCAAGGGTTTTGACACCGTAGGCTCTCTAATACACGGGACCTACATATTGCTTTAAGGTACTGAAAAGAAGTTGGTCAACACAATGTAAAAAAGTTGTTTAAAGTTATAACTTTTGTTCCAACACAAGGAATCGCTCACTTAGAGCTTTCGACCAGTCACTCTGGTCTTCTTTAATAGACTGGGCAACTGGATCAGTCTAGAAAGCTGTAACTACCAACACAGATGAACGTTCATGACAATGTACAAAGTTGTAAATAGAAACATGCCATCAACTTGGTTATTCTGTATCAAAAAAGAGGAAGATAACACAAGAGGAAAGCCAATAGAAACGTGAGGGTTTTCTGTCTAATGTTAAAAATATTTTAAATAAAGAGAAAATTGTCCATATTTTTAAGATGTAAGTTGTACATTCCGTACTAAAGTTCACATGCCAATTATTTCGTAGCTTCATCTTTAAAAAGGAGGAGGTAGAAATCGGATAAAAACACAGCACAGGTAGAAATCTGATAAAAACACCATATAAAAATGGACAGAAGTAAAGCTGCGATACGAAACATCTAACATATGTAACAAAGCATTATTTTGTAAATATAATAACAAGGTTCTAATTTACAATCACAAGAAACACATCGTCAAAATTAATACTTTAGACATAAAGCTATAGCGTTGTTGATAGGGCATGGGTAGTAACGTAAAGAACGTTCTAGAAAAAATAGTGTGGGTGGTTACGGTGGTAATTTGGGCTGACCCTACATGTATATTTCCACAAAGCCAGAAATATTGCTTTGAAGTAGTCCTTATCTACATTAGAGAGTCGTTTGCGTTAAAAGATACTGCATCAAAAAGGCAGATTTATGATCTATGGCTTCAACCGTTCGCATTTAACTGACGTATCTAAACTGTTTCACAAATAACGTGACTGTATGGATCTATTTTGAGTGACATTTTTTGAAAATGGTCAAGTTGCATACACGTACGGAACCTAACTAACTAAGGGTTTTTAGAATAGGCAAAGTCAAAGTCCGCGATCTCTAAAGCTGTATATACCAGCATTTTAAAAGTTTATCATTGTATATAGGTAGAGATGCATATTTCTTTGATTGAATTTCTTCGATTATAAAACGATTTGCTTATTTATGAAAATATCATAAAAATGGATCAGAGTACAGCGTAAAAACCTATTGTTCACATTGACTGAAATTGCTACTGTGGTGTAAAAGTAGTGAATACTACATAATGTTGATTATTAAAGACATTACAAATTGGACACGCTTTGTTCATAATTGTCCAGGATTGTAACAAATAGGTGTACAACATCCCACCTAGTTTACATACTGGCAGAATAATTACCATAAGGCTTGAAAGAGACGAGGTACATGACACTATATTACAAAAGTGCTAATGTTAGAAACAAAATATCGCTATTGATATCACACAGAGATTGATGAACATTCGACTGTCATAGGGAATCTGTAGACATGGATCAGTTATTCCTGTTTGTAGATAAGCTTTCACATAATTCGCCATCTTTCTGCAGCTCTAGCTATATCTGACAAGGTCGTCACGTGACCTGGAGGTTAAAGGTCACGCAGGTCACGTGGCTGGGCACTAACCAGATTAATCCGGTATCAATGCACGGCTGTAATGCAATAATGTATAATAAGATAACCGGGTTGGGCCCTGATTTAAGAGCTGGTAGTCTACCCGCCGAGGTGAAGTAACAGTGACAGTCATCAATGGATGTAGAATAAGATAATCTGGCCGGCAGATAAAATACAATTTTTTTTTACTTTTCTGATTTATGTTTAGCAAAATATCCAACAAAACCCACTGCAGTTCTTTAAATAAAGCCAGGGGCCTTGAATTTATACTTTATTCTTATATAGCACGTCGGCAGAACATACTACACCTACGCGAATCCATGGTTTTTCACGGTTTTAGTTGCATCTTTTCCGACATTGATTTTAAGAAATGCTTTGAATTTAAGAAATAAAATGACTTGCATTTTCTTGTACCATATAGGCATCAGGAGTAGAAACTATAAATGTTAATTTCGACCTGTAGAAACGTTTTAGTTAATATGTGAGTAAATATGGAAAACAAACACTCTGTAACGTGTTGCTGTTAGTTCTCTATAATGTATGGGTGTCGTGGTTAATTGAAAATACTAATACACGAGAACATGATAAGTTAGAGCTTTTATTGTTGTATTAGTAGAAATGTCCATTTAAAAAAAGAAATTTAGTCTAAATCCATACATAATACACAAGGACGTCATAGGTTATAGCTTATATAGTTTCATTTTAGAAGAAATGTCCATATTGCAAAAAAAATTTAGTCTAAATTCAAATATAATATACATGTATAATACACAAGAATGTGATTAGTTATACGTAGCTTATATAGTTTTACCAGTAGAAATTTCCATATTGCAAGAAAAAATAGTCTAAATTCATCATTTTAACTTGCGCATCTGCAACTCGTTAACATGCACGCACCATGAAGTGAACATCTACACAGTCACAGTGTATTCCTACTTGCTAAAATGTATTTTGTGTTGTCCTCTTAAAACCCGTCTCTAACTCTACAGTTTTCATACCGGACGTTTTCAAACCACTCCGAAAAGTTCAACCGCTTAATTGACCTCTACGGTATTCATTATAACACGATTTGTTAGAAACAAAATGAAATTCAAAAAGCCCTAGTTAACGTTCATTACATGCTGATCTGGTATTAATATAAAACAATACAGTCATTCGTTCAAAGGGTTTGATTATCAATGTGTCAGATAGTTCAGATGATATGATATTTATTTACGCAGCTCTCATACTTGACTTATGTTAATTCTTATTAGAATTCATATGTCTTTAAGTACAACTGTGTACATGCATATAATTCCAATGCTACACTGACCACGAAATGCTATAGGATAATTAATGTTGATGATGATAATGAATGGTTTATTAAACTATAAATCATTTGCAGCCTGAAGGCTAAAATGCTGATTCAGTACAATACAATCTTATTCAAAACTTGTTGTAAAATAAAACATGAACATTTGGTACCATCAAATTACAAAAAGGTGGTAATAATCACTTATTCGTAAGATCTGAAGTTAACTACCATAATAAGAAATTATAGACCACGACAAGAGACTGTGATTTGCATGTGCTGAATTCCACGACTAATTCTTTTCATAAAAATTGTTGTTATGATTGTCTGAATAGGTAGAAGTTTAGCTATGTTTCCTGCAATCCTATTGTTTCCTAGCAAATCTCACACTTTCATCAATGACAATGAAACTGCCATTTTGTGATACCACGCTTCAGCTGCGTGTACAGTGTGATGAACTGTAATTAGTATTGCACACAAAAATGCCTCCGTTCCTGTGGCGTTGTCAAAAATTTATAGGGATTTTGACCCTATTCCATTATATCCAAGACTATGATGCATGTGCTTTATTGCTGCAGTAAATAACAATATGTATGCAGAAGATGTACATGTATATTCAGTACTTGTAATATCTATATTTGTTATTAATGTACTTAGGAAATATCACAAGGAAAGAACGTGTAGACTCGTGTACATGAAATTTAGTCTGGGAATTTGGAATCTTCTTCTAGTGAGAATATGAGAAGTGTCGGATTTTGTTATAGGCGGTTTGTCTGTAGTAGTTAGGCCATGTTGATCTGATTATATGGGTGGCATCCTCTAGGAACCTCAGAACTGACGCGAGCGTGCGAATAAAAAAACGTTTGGCAAAAAAAGGTTCCTTCATTATGAAATCTATGTGGTCATACAGGTTGAACAAATGCCTAACACATAGAGTATGGAATGGCGAATAATGATAGACTCTTCATTTTCATTTCTTCAAATTTTCTTCTTTTCCTGAATTGATTTCGGCATTTTATGACAATTGTATTGTTTTCCAATTCTTTTTTTGCAACATATATTCGCTCAGTTTGCAAAATTTACAGTATGATCGATTATCGTCGAAACGGACGAAAATTCATGCGCGCGGATGTTATCCATGTAATAAAATAAATGTGACCTTACGTGTGCCAAGAATGTGGATTTGTCCGTGCCATACGTGTTGGCACTTTATTTCACGATTGACATCGCGAGAAAAGATTGAGCAACTGCCAAGATGCATTTAAGATCTTAGGATTATTTGGATAGCGGAGTAAGATTGTTCTAGGACCAGTTGCATTACGTAGTTATTAGGAGCAAATGGCAGAATATATCAGTAGTTGATATTAGTTATTTATCTGTTATTGTATTACTTGGGAATATTAAACATTTGTGTTTTGAGGAGAAACAATCGGCTGGCTTCATCATTCATGATTTACTAGCTGTGAATTAGCATGACACAGAAATGAATTATTGTATTTAGATGTTATAATTTCAACGTTATTTGTCACCATAGACGTCACACACGCTTACATACTGCCTACACACACAGAAGAAAAATTACACATAACTGTAGAAATCTTACACAAACCAGCTAGCTATTAGGTCAGAGCAAGTAGTTTATGGATGACATCCTCCGCAGATTCCAAATTTAATGTGATAGGGCAGAAAAAAACAAGAAGGGACAAAAGAAAAATGGTTCATACATTTTCAAATTTTGACATCATAAACCTAAAAAAAAGTTTTCAATCGTTGTACATGGGTTTTGATTGACACGGTGAGATGATCACATATAATATATGAAAGAATGGAAAGACGTCACTGCATCAAAGTAAAAGAGAAAACATTTAACCAGAGCCTTGTCTTGTCTGCTCTCTTCATATTTTCTGCCATCCACCTTCCGTCATGGAATCAGACATCTTTGCCCATTTTCGACATGTTGACCACTTTCAGAGGGCAACAAAATTTCTTTTGTTTTCTTTGATATTGACACAAATTGCCTCAAATATGCACTTTTGAATCAAAATTTTATACTTTAGGCATTTAAAACTGCAGAAACGAACCCCAAGATGAGCCCTTTTTTTCTGGGTGGTACCCTAAAAATCAATCCAGGTCCTTCCAGTAACCGTTTTTTTGTCACAGTTTTGGGGGAATTTTTGCTTCTTGTATGTCTACATACATTGGAATAGTGCTGTTTCAAGTATGTAGATAAGTGATCAGAATATTGAATGTGAAAAATATGTTTTCGAAGCCCTAAACACTGCACCGGGTGCCTTTAACGAATGCCTGCCACGTCGTGCACAGCGGGCGTCCTGACGTCTGCTGCTCGTGTGGTGTGAAGAATGACACGGAGGACTAAAAGCTAATGACGCACAGCGAAAGTCACGAGGACGTACGCAGTTTACTCAGTGCGCGAGAAAGAGTTGAAACACAATCGCATTGATGGAAATGTCACATGCAGGTGTCAACGTTGAAGTAAACAAACCATAACAAAAATACACCTCGATAAGGTCACCGATAGCTATAGGCAATGCGTGTGGCTATAGGCAACGTTGCCCGATGCTTATAAGGCATTTTGCACGCACACGTACGTAGTTTCTTTATCCTCAAAGTGCGCGAGAAAGAGTTGAAACACAATCGCATTGACAGAAATGTCGCATGCAGGCATAAACGTTGGAATAGAAAACCATAACAAAATAATACACCTCGATAAGGTCGCCGATAGCTCTAGGCAATGCGTGTGTATTAGACAACTTACAGCGTGTTTTGCACGTACATGTACGCAGTTTCTTTATGCTTACAGTGCGTGAGAAAGACTTGAAACACAATGATTGATGGAAATGCAGGTGTCAACATTGAAGTAAACAGACCATAACAAAAATACACCTCGATAAGGTCACCAATAGCTATAGGCCGCATGCGTGTGGCTATAGGCAGCGTTGTCCGATGCTTACAGGGTGTTTTGCACGCACACGTACGTAGTTTCTTTATCCTTACAGTGCGCGAGAAAGAGTTGAAACACAATCGCATTGACGAAAATGTCACATGCAGGCGTCAAAGTTGGAATACAAAACCATAACAAAATACACCTCGATAAGGTCACAGATAGCTATAGGCAATGCGTGTATAAGACAGCGTTTCTCGATGCTCGATTTTATACTTTCTTCGTAAGACCCCGCTTCTCACTGGATGGAGACTGTTAAACGACCAAAATTTGATTTTATGATAATATGATAGACATGATCCATGGAGCAAAGGCATGGCATGCATATTAATGGCACACACTTACTACTTTGTACGTGAAATTCTTTTGAACTACGAACTGATGAGATTTTAGGTCGTCGTCTCGGTAAAATGAGGGTTTAAGTCTGTATGATTATGAGAACCAAATAGACTAAGCTCTGGGACACAGTAAAACGGTAAGTAGCCGCCCATATTGCTGTAATTCTTGATGGCCGCACTCCCTACTATGAGCTTACTTTAATTTAGTCCTCCCATCAGCACACATGTCTGTTGAACCATACACTGATTAGGTCCAGAGAGTTTGGCGTCTTTGGGTCAGTCTACTAGTTCAACAAGAGGTCTTAGTTTACATAAGTATAACCTTATGAAAATAAACCTTACTTAAGTATAACCTTATGAAAATAACCTTATGAAAATACTGATACAGATACAAACTAGAAAGGTAACATTTGCGAAACAAATGCATAATGTTTACTTTCGCATATGTTTTTTTTATTTACTTCATCGGTAACCACAAAACAAGGCTCATGGGAGCCACTTAAAATGTTTTGGGTTACCATACAGCCAGTGAGAACAGATGTTTGTTGACCTTAGACTTGAGGAGTGTAAGGTTATACTCATAGGGAAAGCAATAAAATATGGTCTGCTCTGTTGATTCTTGCTCAAATACATTCATATATATGGTCAAAGAGGAGTCCAAATCCCTCCTGCTATAAAATTGCAACATTATGTCACCTAACACCAGTTACCGTGGGAACAGACGTCTAGCTCAGGTCATTGACTTAATTTGTTTGGAGAAGAAGAAGAAGAGGAAGAAGAAATAGAGCAAAAACAATCTGTTTTCCTTCTACGAAGATAGATATTTAAGTGTTGTAGTTGTATATATCATAACATACCATGTTGTCTATGGTATCTTGTGCCAAAGCCAGTCAAATTGTATTATAAGACCTGAGTAATGTATACAAAGTAGTAAAATGTAGACCAAAAAGACGTAAATCGATCTCACTGAGAGAGAAAAAAACACCAACATTGTTTACAACATCAAGTATTAACGCTGCCGTGAGCGTTTCCTCGACTTTGTATTAATCCCGAAATAGCGGAAATTCCGCGACACGATATTAAATAAAAATTCATATGATATGTCTCGCTGCATAATGCAGCTCCTTTGGTAAGCAATTGGTTGTCCAGAGCGTTTTTTTCGGAGGCAAACACCAGACATAAGCGGACTGATCAACGGAAGGCTCTGTTAAAGAAAGGAATGACAATGGGTCTTTCTGCTGTGTTCATCTGTATGTTATTCTTGTCATCGCTGTCTCATACAAAAGCCTCCCAAGCAACGTCTTGTGCTAACGTTTGCAACCCCTGTCGCCCGACATCGAACACCGCAGCCTGTGACTACCTAGGTTTAACCTACGTTCCCACTAACTTCCCGGCCGGCGTGGACAAAATATATCTTGAGTGGAACGAACTGGAAGTCATCCCTAGTTCGTCGTTTCCAAACGTGCCATCCGCAACGCACCTAAACCTTTCCTACAACAAGATACGCGAGGTAGAGAGGCAAGCGTTCAAGGGCATGTTGAAGATCCGTACCATTGACCTCAGAGGAAATCAACTGACAAAAATCGACCACGACTTCTTCGGACTGCTACCAAAGCTAACGTTCCTGTATCTACAGAACAACTCAATATTGAATGTGTCATCCACAGCTTTCACTGGGGTCTCAGCTTTGCTGAGCAAAGTGTACTTCAGTGACAACTGTTTGAAAGACATCCCATGGCAAGCGCTTGAAATGTTGAAGATGATCTCCGAAGTCGACTTCGACCGTAACAAGATTCAAACCTCCTCAGCCCCTCCCAAGCTGCGAACTCTAATGCCTATTGAAGTTTCAGTCAGACAAAACCCGTGGCACTGTGACTGTGAGCTGACCCCTTTCGTTAAGTGGCTTCGCCAGGGGAGTTACGTAAAGAGCCCGTATAACCTGACCTGTGCAAGCCCCAGTGATCAAGAAGGCAAAAAGCTGGTCACTCTAGACGAGGAAACCCTCTGTGGCGTAACTCAGACATTAGACATGAAGAGCACGAACACTGCAGATCCTGACCGTGGTATCTTCTTCACAGCTACCCCAATCATGAATCACACCAATAGCAATGGAACGGACTTTAACACAAGTCTCGCCCTGAACAGTGAACAGTCGAATGTCGTAACTACAGGTGAGGGAACCATCGACTATGTGCTGCTATTACCCGTTGCTGACGCGTCTCAGTTTGAAAATAACGGTCCACATAAAGTGGCTAGCTGCATAGCCGTATTGGTGGTGTCAGCACTTGGTTTTACATACTTCCTGTACAAGGTTATCCGTAGCAGGAAGACTGTGAATCATCAGGTAACGTAACAGCTTAAAAGTACTCAATGTAAAATTTGGACATGTATAATTCTAAGGTCAATTTTTGGTTATTTCTTTACGTTGTAACTCAATAGTCCACTGCATAACGATATTTAGGGAGCATGTATGTATGTAACTCTGTTGCATTTATAAGTGTACGAAATGGGGGAAAGGCTGCTAAACTGTACTTAAGTGTGGTACCACAGAAGAGAACATGTTACGAGTTGTTTTGCACCCATGTAAATACAAGTAATACATATTACGTCAAACCAAAGACTTCAACAAGTGTTTAGCACTTAGCATGTACAAGAAAGAATATGATGGTTGACTACGGAGATTAGCACTGCCCTATACATTGGCAGTTGTTGGAATCAACTAACTAACTAACTAGTTCACTAATAAATCTGGCAGTTTTTATCAGCAGATTATTCTATTTACTAGGATTGCGGAAGAATTGACACAACAGGTACGTGACTATCATCTTTCATGAGGTCGGCCCAGAGATCCTAATGCGAACTGTTATCTATTAGGCCACAGCAAATAATTTTATGGACGACATCAGAGTGCACATTAATTTTCGCCTGATAAAAAAAAAGAACTTTTGTTGCCTCCTAAAAGTGGTCAACATGCCGAAAATGGGCTACGATGCCTGTTGCTATGCCGTAAAGTGAATCGCAGATGAACATGAAGAGAGGAGTAAGACAAGGCTATGATTTATTGTTTTCTCTTTTACTTTGATGCAGTGATGCATTTCATTCCTTTTATATGTCATGTTTACTGAATCAAAACCATTTGTGCAATGATTGAAAAGTTGATGTCATCCATAAAATTTACTTGCTGTGGCCTCAGAAAAAGAAAAATATTGTACTGAGGAATTAACCTGTTTACATAAGGAAGTTTGCATTCTCCTTCAATTCTATTTTGATTTCATATTTACTTTAAGCCAAAAGAGGAGAAATAGTCATGTAACGTGTGTCCAGGCAAAAGTAGAAAACATCCTATTCAATACTGTGGCGACTGAATGACACATGATGTACATGAAAGAAACAAAACCCGCGGCCGAATAAAACATATTCCGAACAAGTGACACATGGTATCTTTTTTTCTTATAACAAAAAGTTAGTTGGTAGTTTTCAGGGTTTTGAAACCATCTTTTTTTGGTGTTTTGAGACAATTTATGCAGTCAACCCCAAAGCAGTATGCATCCGGTATGCAAATATTATTTCCTCTCTGACATGTCCGTTTCCTTCCTGGCCTGAAGGCATGTTTGTGTGATGCCACCGGAAATGGCGTTGAATGGTATCTCACAAAATATCTTTCAACCCCTTTAATATAAACAATAGGATCATAGATTTCCGGACAATTCTTTCTTGACACTTGCCGCTCTCCCATGCCTTACGACTGACCTCAACACTTGACAACAGAAATGTGGGGCCGTAAAGGATTCTTTCTTCTGGGTGGGTGACGGGCATTGGAGTTGTAATTGTATAGAAAATTCCGTGCTGTTACTACGTTAAAGAATGGCTGCTCACAACAAAAATAGCATGGCTACGATCATATGAAAAACAAATCAAAATGCCATGCACGCATATGGTGCCATTGTGAAATGTCCACAACTGAAGGTGTATCATTAGTCATGCTCCAAGTAAAGAGCCTGGCTACAATTTAAATGCTAACTTAAAGAAACTTGAAAGAAAACTTGCATTATCTATTTAATCTTCAACATCAATCGTGTGACGACAGGAGACAATAAAGTCGTAAAATCAAATTTGTGAAAAATACCAGGCTAGCCAACTTCTCAGTGCTCTAGGGCCCACGTGTTTGTGCCATTGAGAGTGAAATATCATTATTCGCTTCCTCCTTCGTGCCACGTCTCATAACAATCGAGAACAAACTAGATGTTTAAGCAAGAGGGCTGGGGGCCAAAGCGGAGAGTCCGACTGACGTGGCGGCCTTGAAGAGAAAGTTCCAGTCAACTATGTTTAACAGATTTAACCAATGCTTCAGCGTAGACATGCCTTGTTCGTGGATACTGTCTTGTGGCTGTACCACCTGTCGTGCTACTAGGCCTCGTTACTCAATATATTCATTTAATTATAGTGTAATGCCATGTATATAATATTGTATTGTATTGTATTCTTATGCACTTGTATGACATTGTCGGCATGGTGGCTTCGAAAAGGTGTCCTTATGTCCACCTGTTCCACCATGCCTTCTATGCATGTGGAAAATTGTCATAAATAAATACTGTTTCTACGAAATGCAAACGTCTCCTCCCACGTCCACCGTTCCTATGACAGCTAACATTACGCCCACACCAAACAATCTTAGATCGACTGAAGCCCCTGTCACACATAGCCTAACATCGCCCCCTGGACACTAGCTGAACTTCCCCCAACCATGCATGGCTAGGGGTAGATCGTGAGCAATGTCGGTCGTTGTTTGACCATGTCGGCTATTCCTCGGCTACGGCAGCTGAATGTTTCAAATGCTCAAAATAGTCGGGTGTCTACGGGAGGTTCGGTCATGGTTGACCAGTGGTTTGCCGGTGTTAGGCAGGGGCTTAAACCACATTTACTTTTCATAGTCAAAACTAGTGAAAGGTTCAACTCTAATCAGATTTCCCAAAACAAGCAAAACACATGGTGTTTGTTTGTTTGCTTCTTTATCAGTTCAGAAACCTCCAATTAGTGACAATACACCACTACTCTTCTTGGAGTCCTCTTACATACATGTACATTGTAAAATACAAACATTATAACAACTATTCATATTCGTCATCTAATAACACTACTAATAAACTTTATTAAAGTAAATTCTGCACATTTAACATTAATGATGGATTCTTTTCATCTGAATTTATGAAATTATCCAACTGTTTTCTCCGCACTGTCGTGATCCAGCGTGTGACAGCTGCTTCTATACAGGATTCAATTTTTCACACCCACGCTCAAGTTCAAAATAACATGAGAAAAACAGGACCCCATACATAGTGCCTCTGGCATTGTCATGTATTCATTAGTCAAGATGAGGAGTACAAAACAGCGTCTTCTATATGCTAAAATCTCATAGAAAGCGAACATTATTTGCCATATATCTGACTAACGTAATTAAAGTGAAGACCGTGGCAGATGCAACAGTTTGGGAGACTGCTTTAGATAAAAGTATTATGTATGAAATAGGTGGGTTGATCCCGTTACTTTCTTTAGGTTTATTCTTTATCCTATAACAGCAATGTCATTATGTGTCTTCAGACTCCGCTGTCAGGCACGAACGTTACAGTTCTGAAAACGTGATCTGGTGAATCATGATAAATGCACCTGAACGCTGACTAAATTGTGTCGTTCCTTTGCTGTTTTAGTGGAGGTGTAATTCACTTAGGAAGTTTTAACATCTCATAAGTTCTTTACATAGAGATGTAAAAAAACCCATTGATAATGCAAATGAGATGCACATAAGGTTCAAATTAACAAAATCTATCTTGAGAGACCGTCTTCCCTTTGAAAATTTGACATGTTGGGTAAAGGTCCTGTACTTAAACATTATGCTTTTTGAAATATCCTCGCAATTTTTTTGTATCGATATCAAATCTGCAGTTGCCAAAAAAAACTGCATGGTGTCGTTGCAGAGCAGTGCAGATAAATTCTTTCGAGTTAGGTACCTACGGCGTTAAGGTATGTTTTATCTCACTACTATCGAAGAGTTAGGGAACTTGCAGAACTGTACATTGCAGATTTTCTAAATATCATTTCACAGAAGATGAAAGGAATAAAAGCGACATATAAGCAGTACTAGGGGTGATATTGATGTCAAAGGTATGTGTAGAACTAGGTATATCATAATCGATGTATCTATAGTTCATAAGGTTATGACTCTTTTCTAACAGATGCAGTTGATAATGGAGTCAGTTGAATGCAGATCAGTCATTAGGTCTGGGTGTAGACCCGAGCGTAATACACTTTTCGGTTTATATAGTGCACAACTACAATACTTTCTCATAAGAGCAGTGAAAGTAGTGTGTACTACTTTTAAAAGCCTTTGGTATGACGTGACCGAGGTTTGACCCCGCGAACTCCCGGGTGTAAAGCGACCACTCCATACACTTTAGCCACCACACCTGACTGACTGGGTGAACCAACCTTGTCTACCTTTCTCACCTCACATCACGTATATCTGACATGGAAGGAGGAGCACTTTACAAGTGTTGAAAGACAGATAAACTTAGTTACCATTCCGGTGCATGTGATGTAAATACTTTTTGGATTCTGTTTTCGAATACTTTGAAAATACTTTTGAAGAAATTCATGACCTCTGACCTCTTATCCGTGACCCCGCCCTCACCCTCGACCTTGTTGAAAAGTGGTCACATGTATGTACCGAACAAGCTTTCGAGTTTAAATAAAGGCTTACTACTACTACTACTACTTAGACACCTAGCACATGAACGTTTTTGATTTGGCTACTAGATAACTCCTTTATTTCCTGGGTGGTACCCTAAAAATAAGCCCAGGCGTTTTTTCAGTAACTGTTTTTCGTCCGGATTTTGGGCACTTTTGCTCCAGAAATATAGTTGTTGTTGCAACTCAGTATGTAGATATATTTGTTAAGTGACTAGAATGTTGACTTGAAAATGTGGTTTCCAACCCTTTAAAACTGCATTGGGTGCCTTTAGACTTTTTTCGGAACAAAGTACGACAGTTAAGTTGTCAAAAGTTCCGCCATCTCTTCGTCTTTCTCACTGTGGGCGTCTTCATTATCCATCTGCCCATTACAGCTCACCTATCATCCTCAGATGTACGGAAGCGTGGGTTTTCTTTCATGTTATGCACGGGAAGTACTCTCTTTTGTAACATCTGCTCCCGAAATTTTTCGTGGATCTAACGTACAATTTACAACAATACTTCATTGAAACATCGGAACCGCCCCAGGAGTTTGGTACCTTTAATTGTTAGTCTCATATATATTTCCTGGTTAGTTGCGTTTCTAAAGAAGATCGGCTTAAACATGTG